TCTAGCACATGTGACTGTGCAATGAGATGCTTGTTAGTTTGTGTTGTCTCCCTCCCCCTTTTGAAAATTAAGTTTTATGAGGGCAGTGAGGTTGTATTCTGTTCTCTTCCTTAAAACTGTGTCGCCCTTGGTTGGCATTCAGTATATATTTACTAAATGAATAAGTGAAGGGCAACTCTTTTCAGAAAAAGTTGACAATTGAGTTGAAAATACATAATGTTTTTTTTAATTGAATTCATTGGAGTGACACTGGTTTGCAAAACCATATAGGTTTCAAGTGTACAACTCAATAAAATGTCATCTGCACACTGTATCATGCACCCGTCAACCCAAGGAAAGTCTCTTTCCATCCCCGTTTTGCCCACATCCACCTACCTCCCACCCCTTTTCCCTCTGGCTATCACCACACTGTTGCCTGTGTCTGTGTGATACCTATCTGTCATCTATCTATATCTATCTATCTATCTATCTATCTATCTATCTATCTATCTATCTATCTATCTATCTATCTATCATCTATCTATCATCTATCATCAATCATCTATCTAAATTTTTTTTCGTAATCCCTCACCTTCTTTCATCCCGTCCCCCAACCCACCCCCCAACAGCTGTCATCTTTTCCGTGTATCCATGCCTCTGTTTCTGTTTTGTTAGTCAATTTAGTTTGTTCATTATATTTCACACACAAATGAGATCATATGGTATTGTCTTTCGCTGACTGATGTATTTCACTTAGTATAATGATCTCCACGTCCATCCATGCTGTCATAAAAGGTAATATACTGGTTTTTAAATTATAGACAATTGTGTTGCTTTGCCTCAGTTGATAACTTGAATTTTTATTAGGTTCTTTCTATTAATGTTTATGGGCTATTTCTTTGTACTTTGTGATTCCAAGGAATTGCTTCCTAAAGCAAAAGACTTCAACCTAAAAACCTCTACAGTAGCAATCAGCAAACTGCAGCCCACCTGCACTTTATTTTCATAATGCCTGCAAGTTAAGAATGGTTTTTTACATTTTAAAACAGTTGAAAAAAAATAAAGAATATGTGACACAAATTGTATACATGTGGTTCACAAAGTGTAAAAATATTTACTATCTGGCCCTTTACAAAAAAAGTGTGCTAACGGTTGCTGAGGGCCTGGCCCTGTTACGTGCCTGACCTCATCTCTAGTGTGCTGTTTCTCTGTCCACTCCATCGGGAGCTTTGCGCTTGCTGTTTCCTCTGGGTGGTTCACTTCCCTCAGTATGTGCGTAGCTGTGGCTTCCTCACTTTCTTCACGTTTGCTTAAATGTTATCTTCACAGCATGGCTTTTCCTGGGCACTTTTTTTAAAACTGCATTCTTACCCCCATCCCTGCACTCCTATTTCCTTTCCTCTTTTATTTTTCCTCACTTATTACCAACTGACATTGTGTATTTTACTTCTATTCTCTTCACTCCCTGTAGACTGTACTCTCAGTAAGTACTGAGATTTTTGTCTGTTTTGTTCTCTGCCGTATTCTCAAAGATAGTATCTAGCACATACAAGCATTCATGAAATATTTGTTGAATTAATGGTAATAAAAGTTATTCTGAGAACCAGCATAAAAAAAGAGCTTTCTGTTAAAACACTTCAATTCAGTAAACTGAGTAACTGCTGTGAGACAGGCCTTGTTAACATCTGTGGAGATATACAAAGTAAGTCCTTGCCTTAGAGGAGATGAGTGTGGTAGTGAGAACAAACATGAAATAAGTGAAACCAAATGTAAGATGGAGCTAATTATCATGCTGTTCCCTTGCTAATTAAAATATGTTGAATTGATAATTTAAAATATTTTTTGAGAAGTTAAAAGTTTATATAAAACACTACATTGTTAATGATTTTACATTTCTACATTGATACCTATTTTCTTTTTTATTATGGCTTATTTTCTTTAGATTGTTAGGGATGCAGTCGATAAAAATAATATTCTTCTTTAAAGCAGCTTTGAAATAATCCAAAAACATTTTAACTAGACACAATGTGTAAAACTATTATTATTTTATTTTTAGTTTCTTGAATACTTTTTTGGCAGGTATAAAATGAAATTCTTATTTTTAAGCCCAATTAGATATTTAGGTAATATGAAATTTTTTTTTTTTTAATATATCTTTATTGATTTCAGAGAGAGGAAGGGAGAGGGAGAGAGAGAGAAACATCAATGATGAGGGTCGTCATTGATCGGCTGCCTCCTGTACACCCCAGACCTAGGGATCGAGCCCACAACCGGGGCATGTGCCTGGACCGGGAATCAAACCATGATCTCCTGGATCCTAGGTTGATGCTCAACTGCTGAGCCACACCTGGCCAGGCGGTAATATGAAATTTTTATTTATTTTTATTATTTTTTATTTTTTAAAAAATATATCTTTATTGATTTCAGAGAGAGGAAAGGAGAAGGAGAGAGAGAGAGAAACGTCAATGTTGAGTCGTCATTGATCAGCTGCCTCCTGCATGCCCGTGACTACTTAACTGCTGAGCCACGCCCAGCTGGGCGGTAATATGAGATTTTTATATTTTAATATTAACTGAAGGTGAATGGAGTCACTCTTGGGATGGTAGCAGGAAAGGGAGAGACTGTATGTGTGCACAGTGTATATATTCTCTATGTATGTAACATTTTAATATAATATAGATGTTTATATATAACATATTCCTTAGCCATATCATTTTGCTTATCTATTTTTAGCTGTCTAGCTTAAACTTCTGTTTTTCAATTAAAATACATGAGTCAAATTTGACTTTTACTATGTATTTCTTTAAACTTGACTATTGTATTTTTTTCTCTGTGGGAGATGTTTATGGCAGGGTAGCATATTACACTAGTATTAGGTATCTTTTTTACAAAGCAAAACAGCCAGTAGAAGTGTAGTCTCTGACAAAAATACTGATAGTTGCTAGATAGAGTGGGAATAAGTTTTGAAGAAGACAAAGAAGATGAATTCCTTTCCCAATTAATTTTGTTAGGCATTTGAGAGATAAGGAAGGCATTTGTTTCTCAGTGCTTACGTTGTTTTGAGATATTAAACAAACTATTTTCCTTCTGAGACATATTTTGGGTAGAAGGAATATACTTAGTTTCCTTTTTATGCATTTGTTCAACAGATATTTAATGAACATCTGTCTACACCATGAAAAACTATGCTAGGAATTGTTATAGGTATAAGAAAACATGAACATGGATCACTCTAATATGGGGGGCAAATTAACATGTCATTAGATACATTTAGTTAAAGTGATGTGGGAGTTTCGAGGGGCGGGGGATGTTAGTAGTAGTTCAGACCTAACAGATTTACCTAAATTTGAGTTTGGATTTTAGGAAACAGAGGCAGAGGGAATAACAAATAAATAGGGGCAAGGACTGCCACGCATAGGCTATGTAGTAGACCAGCTCTTCTTAAACTTTAGTGTGCATTTATATCACCTGGAGATCCTGTTAAAATGCAGATTCTGATTTAGTAGATCTGGTGTGAGCCTGAGACTTCTGTATTTTTAACAAGCTCCCAGGTGATGCTGATGAGGTGAGTTCATGGATCACTCTTTGAATAAGCAAAATGATGGATCACATTTTACAGAACTTCTTGTGGCAGAGAACAGTAGAAATTAAACTGTTTCCTTTTTCATCTTTGCTTTTTCTCTTTTGCTTTTAAATTTATTCATATCTGTGTGGAGAGAGTTAAATCTATTCATTTCATTGTTTATTGTAATAGTTGTGAACTCATAAATTGAGAATCTGATTTTAAAGGATTTATTAATTCATTTATGAATCTCTTTCATTTCTTTTCTTGCTTAAAAGATAATAAAAGATGTAAATTCACTTTGAACTTAACTCTAATGGATTAATTCAGGTACAGAGGCAATCTGAGAGAGTTAAAAAGTCTATCCTAAGCCATTAAATCCTTTTCTTTCTGGAAGCACTTTAAGGTATGGGCTTAATAACGTGTGAGTTTTCATGTAAGTTCAGATTTAAATCAAATTATGTATTGATCTGTTCATAAGTGAAGAGAAGGAAATCCCGTGTTTCACAGATTCTAATGTTACAGAACATTTATTCCTGAATATATATTCAAGAAACACCCCCCATTTTTATTAACATGTTTTGATGATATTGCCTTTTGTGTCCTTTCTCTGAGAAACAGTATTGGAAAGGGTATTAGTGAGGCAAGAAAGCTGTGTATGCATCTGTTCCAGTTAATTTGTGAATTCAGAACTATACTTGCATTCGTGCTCTCATGTGTACACACACAATTCAAGAAGGGGGGGATGAAAGCCAGCAGGAAAGGGATTGTTTTAATCCCCTCACAACTGTCTATACTTTCCTTGGTTGCCTGACTTAGATAAAATCATTTTATTTTCATATTTAGTTATCCTTTAGTCTGTGGAGTAAAAATATAGAACTAATAGCCACAAAACTAAGTTAAAGAAAGGAAACTGAAAATATGAATAGTGTGGAGGAAGTGGTACAGGATAGGGAGCTTCAGAAGTAGATGTAATGTTCTGTTGCTTACGCTGGGTTCCCAGATCTTTATAGCATTATTTTCATTTACATATACATTGCATATAGCCTTTTGAAAGTGTGAAAGATTTAATAATAGTAAAATAAGAGTTATATTACAAAATCTTTCTTGATCATTCTACTATTTCATAGCATTGATGTCAGGAGACTGTTTCCATATTTCCAACATAAATCTCTGACTTGGCTTCTTTTTCATTTTAGACTATCTTATGCCCTCCTTTTGTTTTAGAATTTTATTGTGCTTCAAAAAGTACATGCTGAAATACATGTTCCTGAAATGTTGTTAACAGTTTGCTCCTGTTGGTGGGAGTGCACGGGAAAAGGTTGGAACTAATTTGCAGCAGGAATTCTTTGTTGGTTTGCAGCTATTCCTGGGTGGCAGTGGTGTAAAACTGTAAATAAACATGTTTTTCCTCTGCATATATATGAACAGCATGATTTTTCTCCCCCCTTATCAACAGGCAAGTGAAAGACCAGAATAAGAAGGTAGCAAATCTGAAGCACAAGGAACAAGTAGAAAAGAAGAAGAGTGCGCAGATGCTAGAGGAGGCTCGGCGCAGGGAGGACAGTCTCAATGACAGCTCGGCACAGCTCCAGGTGAGAACACGGGAGAGTCTGCAAGGACCTGGTGAAGAGACTTGATCCAGAATTGCATGTTTTTCTCTTGATCTATCTGTATCTGCCTCCTTTCTTCTCTCTAACCCTGCTTCCTGCCTTCCTCTCAGACCAACTGCTTAGCAATAAAGAAATGGCTTTAAATAGAAAAGGCAAGTTTTATTCCACAGCTTTGCGAGGACACCTCAGCACAGGAGAAAATTCATCTTGCTTCAAGCTGATCGCACTTAACTGGTAAGTTCAATGTCAGTTTGATGAGTGGGTACTGTTGTGCTTTAGGGTGGTCAGTGTAACTATTTGCCATTTTTTTTCATTAGAGTGCATTGCTGGTCTTGGTGTGTGTCTGTATTTTAACTTCTTTTTCCCATTCTTCTTTTCCCTTTTCTCCCCACCTTTCTTTCCTATTTTTCCCTCCCTCTTTATTTCCTTCCTTTTTTAAAAATTTAGTTTAGAGAGCATATTTCACAGTCATGCAAGATGTATAAACTATACTTTTTTACTTCAGTGGAGTGATAATTGATGTGTGAACCTAATTATTTACAGATTAAGTTAAACCAGGTTCGATAACAATAGTAGCAGTGACTGTATGATAAGTGCCAACTATGTGCCCAGTCCTTGAGCTGGGCATTCACTCTTCCTAACCTTCACAGTGATCCAGTGTGGCTGCGATCTTGTGTACATTTTGCAGATGAAATAGACTCAGAGAAATTGAATTACATAACCTATACACACACAGCTGAGTGACTCTGTCATGATTCTGAGATTTCCTGGATCTCTAGTCTGTCAGAATGAAGGTTTACGTTCTAGAGAAGAATACCATAAACCTGCTAGAAACCTGACACTTCTGCTGAGACTGTTAAGCCATGGCCAGATTTTTTCTCTCTCTCATTATTACTTCTAATTGGGTATGATAGAGTGTTTATGTCACAGTTGCATAATTGTGAAATCTTTACTGGACTGATTTGGAGGAGTTATTGTCTACTATGTAGAAGCCATTTTTAGGCTTTCAACATTCATTTCAGACATGAAAATCTGACTTAATACCTGTTTTCATTTCATTTTATATAACTTTTACTGATTATAAAATATATACAGTACACCTTATAGAAACAGTATAAATTTACTCAAATATTCCGACTTTTGAAAAAGAGCAGCACACCAATTTCCCTTGCCAGCGATAATTGACACTGTGAATTTTCTCTTCTGTGTGTGTGCGTGTGCGCCCGCGTGTGCCAGATCTGATGAGTGGGAAATACTTAATGTTTGTTTTAATTTATATTTCTCTGATTATCAGTGAGACCGAGTATTTTTCATGTCTTAAACTTTCATTTGTTTGTTAACGTAACACAAATCTATCTCTCTTCCATGGTGGCTATTTTCCCATGAATTTTTTGCCCAGTTACCCCCGCTTCGAGAACATATAAATATTTACCTATAAATCTTTTTAAGTTGTTCTAGGCTTCTTCTCTACTTTTTCTTTTTAATTTAAAATAATTTAGGATATTTTGTGTGGTGATGGTCTTAGCTTTTCTTCATTGCTACCAATTTCACTACACTATAGGAAATTATTTCGTTACTCAAAAATCGTTTCATTACTATGAAATCTTTTAATAATTAGTCTGTTTCTAGGGTTTCAATTTAATCTCCCTTCTTGAACTAGGATCACATTTTATTTTAATTATAGAAAATTCTTTATGATAAGTCCTTCTTTATGTTTGCTCCTTAACTGTTTCATTTGTCTTTTTTCTCCCTCCCATTTAATGTTTTCTACTACCAGCCTGCTTTTGCAACCCAAAGGTGCCCTTTTGGTCTTCTGATAACAACAAAAGTGCTTTCATATGCAGTCTTTTATTTCCTCCTTTTATAATCCAAGAGATAAGTAATCAAAGTATTTATTTATATATTACATATAGAGGAAACTGATTTAGAGTGGATGAATGACTTTTCCAAGGTGATTCAGTAGTATGTGATATTAAAGATTAAAGTGGTGAAAAATGATAGCTGATGGCCATATGCAAGACACATGGATATAATTCATTTAAATATAGTGAAAAGAGCACTGGGCTACAGATAGGATACTTTGGATCTGCTCTCAGTTCTTTTACTAACTAGCTCTGCTAGTTATTTCTTAACTGCCTTATTACAAATGACAGCCTAGTGATAGTGAATATCCACAGCATCCAGATTGTGACCTCTAAATGTGATTCCCTGCTAAAAGTTTCTAGCTATTCCTGGAGAAACGGCTAATAGTAGAATTTATGAGGGAGTAGAACAGTAGGAAACCAGTTGATTGAGGATTTGTATTTTTTAAAATTCTTACTTCTGATTTTTTTGTTTGTGTTTTTAATTTCTGAATATACATTTAGTTCCATCTATTGATGTTGTCATGAAATAGGAGAAGTAAAAGGAAGGAATTATTTTAGTATTTTAATGTTTCCACTATGGCATAATAATTCTAGGATTAAAATACAGTCTTATGTTAAAAAGAAATAACTTATACTTAATGTTTTGAACTTTGATAAGTAATGAATATTTAATCTTTATCTGATACCACCAAAGATTAATTCTTCTTATTGTGTTAACAAACACATAGTGTGTTTTCTTTTGTTTGTCAAGGTTAAAACTTGGTTTAAACTTTAAGGTTCATTTTTACCTTTTGCTATTCAGTGACTGCCAGTTATGGTGTTAAGTACTTCCCTGGCTACACTCAGGTAGAAGTTACAGCTTGCCACAAAGTAGTAGTACTGCTTTTTATTTACTATGTTATGAAAAATAAAATACATTTTAAAAAGTGTATAACACACACAGTGTAAATAATATGTATAAAGTGATAATCACAGGGTTACTAATGGCATCCCAGAAATCATACATACATATTTCTTCCCAATCATTATTTGCGCCATTCTTTTAGAGAAAATCATTATTGTGACTTTTATTGTTCTTTGTTTTTTTTTTTTATGACCTGTGTATATATTAAATAAAAAGTATAGGTTAGTTTTGCATGTTTTTATTTTATATAAATGGAGTCCTTGTATTTATTCTTTTGTGACTTCTTTTGTTCAACATCATGTGTGAAATTTATTCATGATAGTTGCACTTAGCATTTGTCCTTTTATTGTCCTTGCTTACTATGTTTTTCAAAATTCAAAATTCTGTATTTTATCTTGAAAGTGCTCTGAAAAAGATAATTTTATTCCTTTCCAATTTTACATTTTTTGAATACTTTAATGGAACTAAAAGTATTCCTTTTTGGCAGAAAGTACATTTGGAAATAAATTACTTTGCTCTTTGTTCTTGGCTCAACACATTAAAAGTATTCTGAAAATATTAAACAAATTCCTTACATATGAAATGAAAATGATACCCCCAAATGGACCGAATCTAGTGCTCCCACAGACTCTAAACACTGCTTTTGTTTATCCTGGCCTTAATTATGAATGTCCTTTCTTAAAATATCCTATTGCCACTCAGTTGTATCCTCTTTGTACCTTTGTGTTTTGGAAAGTTATAACTATGATGTGTATTAACTAGCCTCAACCTTTTTGGTTTTAGAAGCCTGTTTACTCTCTTAAAAATTATTAAAGTCCCAAAAGTGATTTTTTTTATGTGCCTTATAATTATATATATGCAGTTACTTACCAATCCAGCTGTCCAGCATCTAGATGTTTCTGACATATGCACCAGAATTTTTGCAGTATTGTTGGTAATTGCAGAATATTGGAGACAACCTAATTGCCTATAGATAGTAGGGTGCTTGAACCCACTATAGTATATCCACACATTGAAGATTGGCAGCTTTTATTTAATTTTTATTTTTAATTTTTAAAAAATATATATATCTTTTTATTGATTTCAGAGAGAGGAAGGGAGAGAGAGAGATAGAAACATCAGTGATGAGAGAGTCATTGATTGGCTGCCTCCTGCACAGACCCCACTGGGGATCAAGCCTGCAACCTGGGCATGTACCCTGACCTGGAATCTAACCCCGATCTCCTGGATCATAGGTCAATGCTCAACCACTGAGCCATGCCAGCTGGGCAAGACTGGCAACTTATCAAAAGAATGAGGGCACCAGCTGGGTGGCTCAATTGGAGTGTCGTCCCGTACACCAGAAGGTTGCAGGTTTAGTTCCAGGTCAGAGCAGATACCTAAGGTTTCGGGTTTGATCTCCGGATGGCATGTACGGGAGGCAACTGATTGATGCTTCTCTCTCTTTCTCTCTCTCTCTTCCCTTCCTCCCTTCCTCTCTCAAATCAATAAAAATATATCCTCAGGTAAGGATTAAAAAGAAAAAAAAGAAGAATGAGGAAGATCTGTAATGAACTGAAATCGAGTGATTTCCAGGACAGTCTGTCAAGTGGGGGTAGGGGCACAAAAGACTATCTGTAATATGCTTCTTGGTATGAGAAAGTACAGACATATCTGATCTTATTTTCAAAAGAAAACAGGAAGGATAGACTTGAAACCAAAGAGGCCAGTTATCTATGGGAGTGGCTGGGAGAGGAGTGGAAAGAAGGGGGAACCAGATTTTGGTTTCCATACACCTTTCTTTACTAAAATGATCCAAGATGTCTTGGAAAAGTGTTTGATTCCAGGGCTGGGGCAGGGAAAATACACAGTGAGCCTGAGCAACCTTGCAGTTACAGAAAGTAGGAACATGCTTAACAAAAAGATCTCTCACAAGATCTTTGGATCTTATAATGTCTTATTAGGTATATACATGACTATTTTAAGACTTGATTATACAAGTGTTTCTAGCATTGTCCATATATATTCACATTTAAACTATTTCACAATTCCAGTTGATAGTCATGCATATAGTACACGAATGATAAAAACAATGGTGATTATGGGTTGTTGTTTTTTTTATTATAGCGCCTCTTCTGTTGATGTGCTTCATTTAGTTTTGCCAAACTTTGTTTGCCTTACTCAAGAATTTCAGAATGAAAATTTACCATTTGCAACATTATGGATAAACCTAG